CATGAATAACGTCAGGTGACCAGTCTGACTTTTATTTTCCACATTGGACTCCACCAAGAAGAAATCCCGTGCATACTGCTGCTTAAATGTTCACTGCGCCAGAACTTATTCAGCAAATGTGTTTCCATCTCTGCTTTTGTGCATTAACTCTTACAGGATGGGGAAGTTGGTCTTGGTTTGCACTCTCCCAGTGCTTCTAGTTATTATTATTTTTAAATAAGTTTTGTTGAACGTGACAACAGAAGGTAACAGACACATTACAAAAATACAATATTCATACTGTCAAAGGAGTGGGTAGAAGTATACACCTAATAAACACCAACCCTTCTCATGAATTACTTCTTATCCATTAAGGAAATTATTCTTAATTTCTAACAAAATAATGCATCCAACTGCTACTAAAGAAGTAAATAACTAGGTCTATATCTATTTGGACAGCAGTGGCATCACTAGGCCTATTTAAGGGGGGCTGGAGCCCCCTTAAAATATTTTGAAGCCACCCTAAATTATTTTGGTGTAAAAATCTTTTTAATTTTTTTTTTTTTTACAAAAATTCAATATGATGTGGTCAGAATAAATAAACATTTAATATTTCATTACTGACTAAAATATATGATCATAAATCTGTCAGTTTCCCTTTAATTTATAGTGTAAAATAGTTTTAATGTTCAGTTTTTGGGGTATTTTTGGTTTGATGTTAAAATAGTATTTGGTCTTGAATGATTTAAAAATAACTATGAAAAAAATAATAATCTGAAAGTGTAGGTATTGCTCTCTAAATAAATTTTACTGAAATGATACTTTGCACTGTACATATAAATATATATACATACATAAAACACACACACACACACAATACAAGTATATGATATACAAAAATTCTGTGCGTCTCCTGGGGGCTAAGCCCCCCTTGTCCTTAAAACCTAGTGACACCCCTGTTGGACAGAGAACATTCTCCTTATTTTGGTTCTGTATATTACAACAATGAATTTTCAAAAATTCATTGTGGTACAGGTTGCTGTACACCCTGCCTAAGTATTACCTTTTAATCTCACCAAATACTCACTGAGTCATTGAGGGTATCGCAAACTTGTCTCGAACACCTGAATTGGGTTGAGGACACTGAGGAGTTTTATTTTTACACCTTCACAAGTTTGAAAACACCAGATGTAAATATGCATGTTTAAAAACCACCCCAATGATAAATACCTATAGAGAAATATTTTAACAATATTTGTGCATGATTTTAAGTCACCAAATATTCACCATCATTTGCAGCCCAGTGGGAAGTTGACCTAATAAAACAACAGGTTTAGAAGCGTCTGTTTAGTTTGATCGATTCCCCCTCCTCTACACACAGCAAACCAAAGGCAGCTTAATAATAGGTTACATTTTGTGTGTTTTCTATGTGTGTGTGTGTGTTAAGAGCTCTTGACTCTAATTTGTGACTGCAGATGGAGTTCTCTGCTGGAACGGCACCTCTAACAGTAAATGAATAACCTCATTGTTGTGTTAAAGCCATTTCTTTGTATACACGGGCCATCTCTGTGTGCTCTGTTGTGCACACATCTCTCTAGCTATGCCCCAGTCAAAGCACACATACCTTTATGCACACACACAAACACACACACACTTGACACATGGAAACACATGGCTTCCACCCCAACTACTCCTCCCTGAATAAGGGTCTTTGTAGAGTCAACAAGTTGGTTGGAGGTCTTAATTAGGCCAAGGGGACAACAAAAGAGCTTAGCAGACAATGCTTTGACAAGGGACCATAAACTTAAAGATCAAAGAATGCTAACATGTAGACTTTTTTTCCTGCCTTGCAAGACTTGCCCAGCTTATGTGCGGATATACACTCAAACAATACCAAACATAAAGACCACAAGTTTCCATTAAAAATACAGTCATACATAACGTGTGTGTGTGTACTTGTTTCTGCTACTGTTTTTAACAAACACGCGGGGTCATTTTTAAAAAGTGAGGACATTTTTCTGGTACTCACTTTTTTTAAAGTTCTACCACAGTCTTCTAGTCAGGTTTAAAGGTTTGGATAAGGTTAGGGTTAGGAGTAATGTTTAGAGTTAGGGGAAATGTCTGGTTTAGGCATAAATAGTGTTTCCATCCAGTTGTAGAGTGAATTTTTGTCGAACTTTTCAAAATTCGCAAAAAATTTAATAAATAAAAAATCAAATCTAGACTGTTTCCATCTAGTTTCCCTCTCGACTGTTTAATGCGAATAAACGAGGCTACACAACGCGTGATTACGTCAGACGAGGCTACGCAATGCGTGATTACGTCAGACGAGGCTACGCAATGCGTGATTATGTCAGACGAGGCTACGCAACGCGTGATTACGTCAGACGAGGCTACGCAATGCGTGATTACGTCAGACGAGGCTACGCAATGCGTGATTACGTCAGACGAGGCTACGCAATGCGTGNGCGTGATTACGTCAGACGAGGCTACGCAATGCGTGATTACGTCAGACGAGGCTACGCAATGCGTGATTATGTCAGACGAGGCTACGCAACACGTGATTATGTCAGACGAGGCTACGCAATGCGTGATTATGTCAGACGTCGGCGACAAGCTTTGTGGTAGTAAACAGGAATTGAAACTTGCAGAGGCCAATCATCTCGGGACAATGGAGCGATTTTTTTCGTGAATGCCTTGCTGTTGCACAAGTTGTAATTATTCTATCTATTCAGCTAGTACAGGCTATGTTTAACGCTGCCAGGAGACGTAGGGAAATAAACGCAATGTTAAACTATGCAGCAAGGCAGATGCAGGAAAATGGAAACAGCTGGTAAATATGTGAGGTAAATATGCGCTACGACAGAATTTATTCAGCAAACGTGTTTCCATCTCCTGTTTTGCGCATTAACTACTTTGCGAATCATCCAAAAAGCACCTCAAGCGAGCGTAAATCTTTTTAGCGAATTGAGGATTTTTTTTCAAATTTTGCTGTTTCTATTCGACTTTTTTTTGCATTTTCAATGCGACACTTCTAAATGTGCGTCAAAAAGCCTTGATGGAAACACGGTAATAGACGCAGTTACAAAAATGAATGGAAGTCATTAAAAACGACCTCAGTTTGATGCAAGGACAATGATTACAGTATGTGGGTGGGCATGTTTTTGCTACATCGTGGGAACCATTTTACAATGCATCGTGGGGATCAATGCCACGGGTACAGATGATAATTTCGGGTCGGGGGTGGGGTTCAGTTTAGGACCAAGGTGTGAATTGAGTTTAGGTTAGTTTTAGGGTAAATGGTCACAGTTATGCTATAAAATTACCAGAAAATGAATGGAAGTCAATCCACAGTCCCCACGGGGATATAAAAATAAATCTGTGTGTGTGTGTGTGTGTGTGTGTGTGTGTGTGTGTGTGT